AACCGAGAGGCATCAGGAGTTCCCTTCCTTCCCTCCCTCGCCACGGCCCCGCTTCGGCAAACTCTTTACGCTCTTAACTTGGCAGCCCCGGGGGTAATTTTGCTGATTGCAGAAGGCAATTGCATTAGAGTGGTGGGGGGGTCAGGGTCCTTGTGTGAAGGCCTGTAGGCAGCAGCTTACCCCAAACTCACCCGCAGGAACAAATCTGGCATTTTTGCTGCGAAAGAAGGGGGAAAAAAAAAAAAAAAAAAAGTTCATCTGTTTCAGGTCTCAAAGCAGGAAGATCGCTTGTGTGCAAATTTAATTACGTTTTCAAACCGAGCGCTCCACTGAAATGAGCTGAACGAGGACCTGTTATCCTTTAACGTTTGAGGGTAAAGAGGACTTTAACATTTCAGTCTCTAATGCTGAATCTGCATCAAAGCCAGGAAGGGTTGGCATCTGGTTTGGTTAGGGACCTTTGCAAACCAAGCCCCACTCAGACTTCCAAAGAAAGGGGCTGTGTCCAGCATCCCTTTTGGAAAATATGGATTTTTGCTCCCTGTCTTGCGTGTCTCCTCTTCTGAGGGCTGTGCGTAGGAAGGGAGGGGGTGCTAGTTCCAGGCAGTGCGTGTCGAGCAGGTTTGTCCCAAGATTATTCCTCTCTCCAGTGTTCATTCTGAACAGCACAGCCAACGTCGTTGGCAGGTCAGCAAAGAAAGGCCAACGATTGAGTGTGCTGTGAAGGAACTTCTCAATTATCCCTGATAAGGTCTTTCAAATAAAGCGTTAGACACAGAGGAGCCAACAGTGGGGTCTGTCTGTTGTTACTTGGTGGAAGGAGGTCTTCATTCTCCAGCCTGGCCAAACCTATATTAATAGTGTATATTATTCCGATAGAGCACCATTATATAGAGACTGTTTCTCCCTGGTATGCATGAAGGCAGCTGCACACGCACCCTTTCTCCTGCAAACATTGACGTGGTGTCTCCTGTGTTTCTCCAGGTGATGAGCATCCTGAGCAACCCCAGCGGGGTTCCTCCACAACCCCAGGCCGACTTCTCCATCTCTCCCCTTCACGGTGGCTTGGACACCACCAACTCGATCTCTGCCAGCTGCAGCCAGCGGAGTGACTCCATCAAGTCCGTGGACAGCCTCCCGACTTCCCAGTCCTACTGTCCTCCCACCTACAGCACCACCAGTTACAGTGTGGATCCAGTGGCTGGCTACCAGTATGGACAGTATGGACAAAGTAAGTGCACTGATTGTATTCCCCCTGCATAGGGAACAGGAGAAAAGAGACAGGGGTTGTGAGAAGATATGGATATTGTAATAGAAGGTATTCCCATGGAAATCTGTCCATCTAGAGAGTAAAAGGGAATCTACTCACCAGGCACAGGAGATTGCTGCACACAGCCTCCCAACACCCTTGCAGTCCAATTCAAAAGTCTCAATTGAAATATTTTAGGTAAAACTTGTCTGTTAGGAAAGGAGAACTTCCAGACCTCTCTCCTTCCCCCTCTCCAATTCTTGCTTCTCCAAAAGCCCTGCAACACATTCACCCTGCTCAGCCAGAGGAAAGCTGGGATTTAATGCCATCCCTTAGTGATGCAGAACTGTGTGTGTCGCGTCCTGCCCTGCTCAGGTAAGGGCTGGGTCCACCCTCGGCAATTTGGCTGCAAAATGTGTTAAGCCGATGCCTTTCAACTGGGCTGTGGTTCTGCGAAAGCTGGAGTGAGGCTGGAATTGCAATGTTGAAACCCAAACCTCAGACCCGAAAGGCAGAGGGACCCTGGGAGGGTCTGTTTCTCCTCCGGAACGGTTGGGTCACAAAACCACCAGTGAGCCTGGCAAAGGGCTCACCTGCCGGTGTTAAACTAATAATAAGAGTGGTGGTGTGAGAGAGCGATCCGCGGAGGGTTAAAGGTGCATCCTCTTCCTCCGGGAGCGCTCCTGCTTGCCCATAGCTTGTCCTCAGTGACCTTTCCTTCCATTTGGCTGTGGCTTTTTATTCCCCTCTCCGTCACAGCCCTTTAATGTCTTTAACTTCTACAGCTAAATGAGAACCGGCTGTGGCGGCAGACGGGATCAATAGCAGCTTCCCCCCACCCCTCCTTTTTTTGTTTTTCGGGAGTTTGATCTGTGACCCCTTGACCTTCCCCTCGCTTCTGGATGTGAGGCTGGACACACGTGCTATTGATAAAAATCTTAAACAAATTCCAATACCATGTATTTCCAATAAAGATCCCCTTGGGCAAGACGTTAGTCACACCCATGTGTGTAAAAAATAAAATAAGGATGACGAGCTACGTTTTCTGAGGGAGACCAGCAAAGGAGAAGGAAAGAGAAAGAAGGGTTTGTCTTGGTTTGCTGCAGGAATTTTTACTTGGGCCTCTCCTTATGCTGATGAAAAACTGCTCGTGTAGCCCTGTTTATGTTGGTTTATTCGCTCCCCTTTCCTAATTTCTTTTGCACGGCTCTTTTTTTTTTCTGCTGGACATCCATTCCATTTACAAGTCCAGTTTAGAGCCCACTGGGCTCAGTTCTGAGCAGGAATATTTTCCTGTTAATAGTCACGAGAGTCCAGGCTGCCACGTTAAGCAGCAAATTCTGCACATGGGCACATATCTGTATAGATATTTGTATTTACAGCTCTGTACAGGCAATATATAGGTCCACTCCACTGTAAACCTTTCTTATAATAACCCCGTTTATAATAATCTCTATGTGGGGAAACAGTTTTCACTGGTAATTAGTCCTGTTAGAGCAATTACTTACATGAAGTTGACCTTGATATAGCAACGTTTTTTCGTGTCTTTCTCGGTGCATGTTGTATTTAGCAGATACTTCTAATTCCTTCTGCTTTTTAATTCTTCACTTCTTCTCTTCAAATGCTGTTTAAAAGCCGATGGGTGCGAGGTGACCTCCACCAGGTCATTATTTGTTGATGTTCAGTTCGAATCATACGTTTCTTCCTTCTATGATGCAGAAAAAAATAGTATCAAACCCCTTTTTAGGGAATATTGTGATAAAATAAAAATGGGGAGTTGTTATGATGGGGGCAGGCTCTGTATAACAGGGGATGTAACCAGGGCGTGTAAATAAGAGCTCTGTAGCTTTGATAGGCTTTGGACCTGGCCTGCAGAGAATCTCTCTCTCCCCACTTCTCTCCTTCTTATTCTCTGTTTTAGAAACACAAATCCAGACACACTTTCTCTCTCACATAAGCAAATAAACAGCCAGAGTACTTTAGGTAAGTTTCTGGTTTTATTTTGGCTTCCGCTATATTAAAGCAACAAACCATGTCTTTGACTTGTGCCGTGGGGTACTCCGGTGCCTTTGAACGCTTCCCACTGGCACAAAAAGCAACGTCGGGACTTAGTGTGGGTTTTTAGAAGGACGGAATTGCCTTCAAATTCCCATTTTGCTGAGTATTGTGCAGAGCAGGAGGTCCGGCTCCCTCCTTTCCCTTAGCACCCATCTGGATTCACCCAGAGCACAGGTGACAACGGGAACCGAGGCACAACCAGACACACACGCAGCGTGTCCCAGGAGTGAACTTCCTCTTGCCCTACAGCCTCTCAAAGACCTTATTTAATGTGGTCACCTGAAACATCAGGGGACCAAGCCCATAAGGTCTGGATGAGAGCCGTAGCTTGGGGTGTAATCCTATGGACACCCCCTTTGAAGCCAGAACCCCCATAACCCAACGTTACAGAGCCCAGCGCTCGAGTCGAACTGCTCCAGGATCCCAGTCCCATCGGAGCACCAGCCTGCGTGCCAGCTCCACTGGCTTAACTCAGCTCCTTTCAGACCCTGCTGCCTGCAGAAGCCGTGCTCCCCAGCCAGCCTCGCTCCGGCCTCGGATAACTCACCCCGTGCCGAGCCCGCTCGGTCCCGGCGCGCCAGCCTGTGCTGTCCCAGCCGGTGAGGAGCGGAGATGCCAGATTAACGTGGTCCTCGCGGTTCCCAAAGGCCGGAGCTGTGTTAATGATGCCGGTGATGGAACGCAGAAGCGTGAAAGGAATTCTAATAGATATGACAAGTCTAATAAGAATTTGTGTCTGGAAGGGACCTCCTCTGGGGCAGGCGTCTGACAAGACGTTGATGGCTGAAATTTGTTTACTCATTGGCACCGATTGTACATCTCCTGCCAGCTCCTTATTAATCTAATTTGAGACATTAAAGCTAGTGAAAGGGAGAGACTTTGACTGAAGCTCAGCTAATGAGCAGTGTCACCATCCTGCCCCAGTCCTCTTCCCCCTCAGACCATGGGACAGTCAGGCGAGCCGGGATACGGGTTCACACATCGCCTCAGGAGTTGTGGCTTCGTTTCTCACCCAGATGGAGATGAGCAAAGCTGTTTCCCTTAGGAAAGGTGGATGAAGGCAGGCAGCAGAGCTCGCAGAGATGAGTCAGCACGCAGTGGATGAGTCAGATCCAAGCCCTGTCCAGACTTGGTGAGCTTCCACTGAAATCTCTGGAATCATTTACAGCAGCATCACTGAGTGCAGGAGTTGGCTTTGCCACTGTGAGATGATACAAGGAGGTAAGGCTGGAAGGCTTATCCCTCTGGCCTTCTGCTCAGGCTCATCTTCAGGCAGCTCCCTTGGAAACACCATTTTCCATGGCAGAAGTAGAATTTTAGCTCTTCTCAGCAGATTCACAGGGAGATTCAAGGGACCGCAGCAGCACATGCAGGATGCGCTCTGCACACCGCAGCTGCGCTTAACCCCAGCAGCATCTGTCCCATCATCCATTGGCACCCTTTCCTGGGAGTGCAACAGGGCCCTTGTGTCTGTGACAACCATGACGTTGTAGGAGTCTGCAGGGTCTGTTGGTTACGTGCCCTTTGATGCCAAATGCCTCATTTCCACTAAATGCTAACGCTCGTGTTGTGCTGTTTTCTCACCCTCCTCTTTTCTTCCCCTCCTTTTCAGCTGCTGTTGATTATTTGGCCAAGAACGTGAGTCTGTCTACACAGCGTAGGATGAAGCTGGGAGAACATTCAGCTGTTCTGGGTCTCCTACCAGTAGAGACAGGCCAAGCTTACTGAAGAGTCCGACTGTGCCAACAACCCGCTCCAGCAACTTGGTGCCACTGGAGAAAACACCACCAGCCTTCCAGGGATCTACCCGTACCCGGACCCTACTCCTTCCTAAATCCCTTCCACCTCACACCAACTTGAGCTGTGAAGGAGACGGGAACAAGGGGGAGGGCTCTCCAAGTATCCAGCTTCTCCCAGAGCACTCTTCTCAGAGGCAAGCCTGGCCTCTGCGACCTGACTCCTCCTGTGGCCAGAGACAACGGGGTTGGGTACATTTATTAACCCTGAGTCCATGCCCTCCCTCTAACCTACCTGGCCATGGCATTTTGCCCTCGCTTAAGGACTTTCCATTGATCTAGGTAGTTGGCATAGTCAAAGCCAAATTGATTTTTTTTTTCCTTTGTAAAAAAAAAAATGTTTCGTTTTGTTTCCTTTTCTTTCCATTGCTGTAAATTTGATGAATGTTGTATAGAAAGGAATAACCAAGCTGATCGTTAAGGGTGATACCATTCGGGACCACAGAAGACCTATGGACCAAATATAAGAACTTGTTTAAAAAAAAAAAAAACAAACCACAAAACCACAAACAACAAAACCACAAAGACAAATAAAACCAGAAAAAAACATATATTAAAGTAACAGCAAATTTCCCCACCCCACTCTACCCTTCCGTTCTCACTGATGGCTTCCCAAAGCAGGGCCAAAGCCGGCCAGATCGCTGCTAAGCAGGGGCAGGATGTAAGTCTGTCCAGCCTGGGACCTTTGGAAAGTGTAAATGTAAATTGCTGCATGAGGACTGGAGATTATGGGCACAGGCACGACCAACATTGACTTTTCCTCTTGGGGACCAACTTAGACCTGATTATCACTGAAAAAACCGCGGGCGTCAGATAGCAGCAGGAGATGCGACAGCGACCGCTGGCCTTGCGCGCACAGGGGAAGGGCATCACCCAGACCCAACCGTGTTGGAGCTCTTGCCCATCCAGTCAAGAAGGGTGAGGACTGTCAGTGGCTCTTCTTTCACTCAGTGGGAGAGAAGCTGACCGTGAGAGCGGAGACAAGAGAGGGAGGAGTCAGAGGTGTTCGTTAGCTGCCTGCTCGGAGGGGTCAGTATGCAAAGCCAGGTTCTTCTACGAGTCGAGGGCCAACTGAAAGAGAATGGTGCTTGTTCTGAAGGTGCTTTCCCACAGCTGCCTCTCGCTGAGGGATGGATGTGGCCGTGGGGTCAGAGGGGAGATGACCTGAGGAATCTTTCTAACAGCAGCTAGGAAGGGAAGGTGCTCTCAGCTGCAACATTGCACCTGTTTGAACTGCGGGAAAAGACTGACCTTACCAACACGATCTTTATCCTCTAGCTGCCAGGAGAAATGCTTACCCCGTCCATCCTCCCGCTTCTTCCCCCATCCCTCTCATTTCATGTGTTATTCTGTACAATTCTCGGTCCCTTCCCTCTGCTTTCCGTTTTGATGGTGGAGCCTCTCTGTCTGTAAGCCAGATCTTGTTCTCTGGATTTACCACCCCACTTTCCTGCAGCAGCCAGTGCTCTCGCGTTTGTGTCACCTCACCGTTCTGCTCATCACACTGCTCAGACAAAAGCAGCCATCAGTCTGAGGTTATGGCAAAGTCATGACCCACATGAGTTTTTAAGTAGTTTCCCTTTTGCATGTGGGACGATCCTTGATGATTCTTAAGCAAACGTCTATTATTGCAGACTTTTTTCCCCTCACCTTCCTGTGTTGAGAGGACTCACTTCATGGGCTGAAATTTGACCTGGAGAGGACAAAGAAAGCTGCCCCTGAGATAACCACCCTGATGGACAGAATCCATGCCAGCCAGTAGCTGATGTGTAAAGTCCAATGGCAACAGGCAGTACTTAAAGTCATCTACAGACTGTTAGGGTTTATAATACACTTACTATTTTATATGTCCACTTCAGGATAACAAATGTCTGTTGTCCACTGGTGACAGCAAGGCACATGTGGTTGGACGAGTTCTAGCCCAGCGTATGCTCCTGGGTTGTTAAAGGAGACACTTCTCTTGTGCCCTCTTCTGTTGCTGCTGCTTCTTCCACTCCTCTCAAATAATCCGGTCTTGTTTTTGCAGCTGAAGCAACATTTTGCTGGGGAACTATCCCCTGCCTTGCCCCATCCTCATTTATCACCAACCACCTAGCCGCTTTCTCTTGAGCTGTGTGGACAAGTACCTGTTCTGACCGAAGCAGAGTTTTCCTTCTTACGTTGCTCAATGTCCCAACAGATCCACATGTGGCTTTCGTCAGCTTTCCTTTACGGCTGCAGCAGAGCTGCTCTACATTCCTAAAAGCATATTAACACACCAGCTTGGCTGCTCTGCCTCTCACGCGCCGACACGCGTGTTTCTGTGCAGGAACTCTGTGCGGGGCGACATCTGCAGCCGGAGGCTGTGTTGCTGTCGTTTATGCTCCAGAGATCCCAGTTCGGCCTCTGCTTGTCCAGTTGTATCACACATAACCTCTACTTGACCAGTTGAATCACACACAAAGCTTCTTTCTAGTTGTGAAAGACTTTCCTTGGCTCGCAAGGCTTTTGAAGCACTTGCATTCTTTGCGTCCTTTCTCAGGGCAAGATGTAGCACCTACAGCTGGATGAATAGGTGAGGCCAAAGGTACCGGCTTCCTTGAGGTGACCGAAGAGCCCAAATGGTTTGGACCAGTCGCCTTATCTGAAGTGCTGCCCCTGCTTTGCACCAGTTTGAGGTCTCAGAAAGCAACAAAAGATGCTGGTTTGTGCTGTTTGCGCTTGAGAGCTGATCTAAGGAACAAATCCCTTTTGAATTCCAGTCCTGGCTTAAATGTTATTCCCAACAAGAGTAACCTTCAGCTGCTCCTGAACGGGGGGATGGAAGGTGAGAGCAGGGGTGTCTCTGTGATAGACACCAGCGTGGGGGTTAATGACTGAAGCACCCGTTTGAATCAGCTCCTGCGTCTCAGTGTCGTTCTGAGCCGACTGCTAAAACAACAGAGCACACGATTTGCTTCCGTGCAAATTTCGTATTATTCAAGAGGCCAAATGTCAATAATCACCCAGTCTGGGACCACCTTCACATCTACAGCCTCTTTGCCGGATGGAGTTTGTAGATGGCGATTGTTGACCCCGTATCTGTCCCAGAGAGTTGCAATCCCTTGTTCTTTATGCCGAAATTTCTGACCAAATGCATTCCTAGCTGCCTGCTAAACTAGAAGGAAAGTTTCAGTTTGTCGTGAGAACTGCTTGTCCGCTGCTCCCGCTCGCAAAGACCCGCCAGCTCCCTTCTCCCACCATTATCTTCTCTATTCTCCCGCGCGCGCCTACGCGTCCCCCGAGCATCCCTCAGCAGCTGACCCTCGTGGATAACGCGTTGTTGAGGAGGACTTCAGCTGAGCTCAGCGCAGAGTGCAGGACCCCAAAAATAAAAAAACATTAAAAAGAGGGAGCACTGTAGAAACCTATTTGCCAATTACCTTCCCCAGAAAGTCCGTGAACACCCGGGCACTGCTGTAAATAGAGTTCGTAGAGGAACACGAAGAACGCCCCGCGCTAGCGCAGATAGCTGTTCTCTGACCTTTCCCTCGTGGTCGCACTTTGTACATTAGTTGGAAATTTGGTCATGTGCTGTATGTTTATAGAAAGTTGACTTTTTTTTTTTTATACTAAAAACACAGTGAGTGCCGTGCTAGTTAAAAAAAAAAAAAAAAAAAAGGGGGAGGGGGGATGAACTGTAGAAATTTGCCTATTGTGTGTTTTCAAAATACATTCCAGAATCTTTGGGGTGGGATGGGTTTGATTCCGGGATTTTTTTTTTGTTTCTTTGTTTTGTTTTAAGGTACGTTCATGTATGAAAGTCCAAGTATTTTTTGGTTTGGTTTTGTTTTGTTTTGTTTTATGGATTGCCAACCTCAGTTCTGCTGAAAAAGAGACTAACTCAGGGGATGGGGTGGGATGGGGAGGGGGGGACGAAACAGAGGGAGGCGCCTTGAAGGTGAAACAAAACCGAGCATGGAAGAGTAGCAGAAAAGTGTTGGACAGCAGAACCCTGAAGAACATGTGTTGGCTCAAAGCAGACCAAACGGGGACTGAGCAGGTACTCGACTACTGGTGACTCTGAGGGTGCCTGGAAATCCAAAAATTGTTCTGCACTTCATCCAAACAAACCACCAAGCGAAGGGACACGCTCCAGAGGCGTTCTCCCAGGTCGACGTCTCCTCCGTGCCTGCAGATGAGAACTGACATCCTTGGGGGAAAGGGAAAACGCCGAGTGGATTTCTTTTACCTCCCCGCGCTCCTCCCGCGCCCCTCGGCGCCATCCTGAGACCACAAACTGGACATTTCCTCACTGTGTCCAGTAACTCAGCAGATTGGCTCCTGTCGCTCAGAGACTTTGTGTATTTAATGCTTCTAACCCGTCACCCCTAACACCTCCATATACCCACCTGGGGAATATCTACATAGCACTATAGGACATTCCTTATTCCTAGTAACTGCGGATATGTTGCTTCTGTGTTTGACTCATAGCCATTTTGCTCCATGTGTACGCCTGCGTGTGAGTGTGTGTGCGTGCGCGTGTGCGCCGTGCGTGCGTGTGTATATATATAATCGCACCATAATTTATTCAGCTATATGGAGTAGTATAGTAGAAAGAGAAACTGGTATTTGCTTTAACTACCTGCTGCCTGTAGGTGTCTTTCTGTAACTCAGGCATAACTGTTATACATTAAAAAAAAAAAAAGAAAAAAAAAAAAAAAAAGGATTAAAAGTGGCTTTGGGTGGCTTGTTTGCTTAACTGGCTCCGCAGCGTGCCGAGCGCGAGGGGAGAAGCTGGTAAATCCAAAATAGTCGTGCGCACACACAAGCTGCAGACGTTTTTGCTAAAAAGCAAAGAACCCCGTGCTTCGTTTGGTAATGAGAACGTGGAAAAGCCACGTCAATAAATAAAACGTTTAATTTCACTGTGACTTTTCACAAGGGAAGAACAATTGCCTGGCCTGTTCTCAGCACAACCGTTTCTTTATGCATTCATTTTCAGCGAGCCGTTGCCCGGGCAGAGGAAGGCAGGGCAGGTTGGGAGTGGGCTGCCGCGCTAACTCCGAGCTCTGCGGGCACCTGGCTTTCGTTAAGGGCCAAAGCGCGGCACCAACAAGCGGAAAAATATTTCGGAACTCTGTGGAGGAATACGTGGCTTGGGGCTTCGGCAATCGGTAATAAAGCATTTTGCCTTTCAACAAAGCGCTGAATTCAAAAGCCCTTCCCATCTGAAGACTTTTTGGCTTTCTGTAAAATAAGTTGGTCTCCATCCAAGTCGTGCCGGACGAATATCCGCACGTGGAATTTAGCCTAATTAGTCGCTGTGGGTTTTTGTTTTTTTTTTTCTCCTGGTTGTTTCTCAGCAGAGGGATCAGTC